AAGCACCTGACGTGTCCATTTTGGCCGAATAACGGGTGAAATTTATGTGTTTTCCCTCCACAGACGTCTGCGTCTGGCCAACCTCTCGTTACGATTTTGGGGGTGAGCGCCGAGCCACACGTTAGCTCTTTCCTATATTAAAGTCACATTACAAGCTCCTTGAAATGTGTGTGATGTAAAAGTGCTTTCTCACTTGTGCACCTCTGCATGTAACAGTTCAAACTACAAGTACGGCCCTACAGGCAAACGACCTGCTTTTTTTTTTTTTCCTGGGGGGAGTGAGAGGGTATTAAGTTTAATTCTGCTTTTATGGCGTTTTATCAATTTTAATAAATATACACATGCTGTCATCATCACCACCATTTATTTTTCCTGATGTATAAATTTTGAGCTTTGTTAATCAAATACCAGTACAAAAAAAGAAAAAAAAAAGAAAGAAATGACACAAAAGAAATGTTATTATATGCTCTGGTTTCCAGGCAAGGAAAGTCATAAAAAAGCTCATTCACAGAACAAAAAGAAAGAAAATCATCACGGCAGATACTGCTCATCTTCTAAATAGAATGGGTGTATGTGTGCCTGTGCATGCTTTTCAAATGAGCATCTTGTATGCGTTTGTTTGTGTGTGTGTGTGTGTGTGTGTGTGTGTAAGTGTGTGTACATAAGTGTGTGTTCCTATGAGCAGGAGTGGACAACGCCATTCTTCTGCATCTCTGAACCAGCAACAACTGGATCAGAACACATGCTCAATCCAGCCGTCTTATTGGTCAGTGACATCATGGACCCGCCCACTGCATTTTCTTGCAGACTGCTGGAGCCGTTGGACACTTCGCTGAATGAGAAGTGGAGAAAGAGAGCTGTATAAGCACATATAAGAACAAAAGACAGAAAAGATGCAAGAAAAAAAAAAAAGACATATTAAAAGACACCAATTTCTGCTACATATGCATGTCATGGTGCCTTTATTTCCTGGCTGCCATAACTTCACAACAAAATGATTCCGATACATAGCAGCAGAGGGAAACAATTTAATCAATTACCTCCAAAACCTGAAAGGGGAGGCTGAACAGAAACTGCAGCGACTTAATATAAGAATGTAGAATTTGGCCATCTGATAAAAAATGAATGTCTCCTACAAAGTTGAGCTAAGGTTATACTCACCCGAGAGCCAGAGAGATTTCTTCCAGCTGGTTCTCGTGCTCTGGTTGTCCATTCTCTGCAGGCTGCATTTTGTACTGTTGAACATCATGAGCTACTTGGTTTTCCTGCTATGGAGAGAAACATAAATAAATACGGAAAAAAAAAACAAACAAAAAAAAAAAACCCTCCCATCAGTAGAGGTGTCAAATAATGTAAGGTTTGTCAAGCATCTGTACTAAGGTATTAATTTTTCTGACAATTTCTTACTTTTACTCCTTATATCTTAAGACAAATATTTGTGCTTTCCACTCCCTGGATTACTTTCATGGTGGGGGGGGGGAAGGAGTGAAGCCATTTTAAAATGTCCACCTCATGGACAGAAAGTTTGTCAAAGTGGTGGTAACGCAACAGTCAGATGCCAAAAATACCAAAAACAGAAGAAAAACACATTTGTGTGTGAGAAAAACATGAAGTAACATTGCAAAATAAAGGAAAAACTAATTCTGAGGCTTTCCCCATCAACGGCCTTATTTAAAGGATAAGACTGCGGATATATCGGCTCATATGTTTCCAGGTCGTCTGCTCAACAAACGAACAACGATTTGTGGCAAATGCTCTGTTTTATCAACCATGAGTTTCTGGCATTCAAGAACTTGCCATCAAACCTTCTAAAACACAAAAAGGTAAGCTTGTATGTTTGGGTGTTATTTAGTAGTAGTCATCTGTGTTGTAAGACATTTTGTATGACGAAAACTTTTTTAGTATTTTAGACTTAATTGAAGGTCATTTTGTATTACTGAAAGTAAAATTACTTTCTTTTTGTCTTTTTGTTCTCGGGTCCAAAATTTGTACTTTTATACCTTTACTTAAGAAAAGGAGTTCAATCTGTCATTTTACCAGTTTTTTCATACAACTATTTGTACTTCTACTTCAGAAGAGAACATCAATACTTTGAACACATCTGCCTGTCAGCTATATTAGAAACCAGTCATACACGGATACAGAAAGTTTCCTACCAAAGCCATCTCTCGGGTCCTCTTGCCAATTTCTCTCTCCACCTGGTGGAGCTCCAAGCTTAACTGCTCATTGGAGACAGCTGGCACTCCGGCACCCCCTACTGGCCATTTGGGCTGCGGTTGCTGTGGAACCACTGCCGCTGAGCCCTGGCTGGGTTGCACAGGCTGGACGACCAATGCGCTGGCCTCCCTCTGCAGGAGCAAAGAGTTACTGGCGGCCTGCAGCATTGAGACAAAGTAAAAAGACTGGAAACAGGAAAATGTGGGCAAAAAACAAAAATGCCATAAGATATATAAATCTAAACATTTTCATAACTTAATTTCATCAGAATCGAAAAGCTTTTCATTCTTCTTTTTTTTCCCACTTTAAAAGCACCACATTACTCAAGCTTAGCTTCAGATCCATCCTACATACCTCTATGTTGTGCATCTGAGTCTGTTGAGTGATCTGCTGATTGACCTGCTGCAGCTCAATCTTTAACTGTTCTCGATCTGGGGTTGTCATGGGAAGGCTGTGAAAATACAATGAACTGGTTCAACAACATTTCAACGTCTCAAGCTTACTTAAAGGCACTCATAAGACTTATTAAATCACATCAAAATAACTGGAAAATCAACAGAGGTGTTTGGGGGGAACAAGGGCTCACCGCTCAAAGTGTCCCTGAGAGGAGGAGGCAGTCTGGTGGGAGGGGTATGAAGCTCCAGCCCATGCTCCATGACTTCCATATGAGTAATCTACAGCAGGAAGATGACAGATATTAACGAACATCAGTCGATATCGCTGATATACCGGCTCATACATTAATTCAGAGATTAATTGAATACGTGTACCCGATAGACAAAAGATGAATCCCATACAATAAAAATAAAAATGAATCAGTTAAGAAAAACAATTTTAGTGACTTTTCAGGGTTTAGTTGGAAATCCTAATTTAAATCTTACCAGGCATGGTCATGTGTTTAGAGTTGGGGTTCTGAAGAGTGGAAGCCATAGCTTGCACTGGGCCAGTGGTCTGATAGCCAGTCTTTGAAGTGCGGGAGATGGCGCCAAAGCGTGACACAGTGGGCTGGGGGCCAAAAGGTATAATAGGGTCATCATCTTTCACTTCTGTTCCCCTGCGAGGGGCCTCCAATGATGGCTCCCTCTGACCTTTATCGTCCACATTCTGACAGAAACAAAGAGGAGACAGGAAGAAGAGATCATGAGATCATTATATGGAGCAAAACAAAGTCCATCGACATTAGAGCTTGAATTAACGATTGCTGAGTATAAACCAAATTAATGTGTCAAGAAGAAAACTTGTTCCACATTTCCCACTCCCAGCAGAAATAAATAGGGGTCACTCATCTGAACTTACCATCATCTCCATGCTACCAGGAGCCATAAGGTTCTTAGGTTTGGCATCCTTTGAGTTAATATAAGAGCCAATGGTTTCGCAGGACCAGGGCGAGTACTGCCCCGTGTAGTCGGGCTCTCTGCATTTCATCGTTTTGGAGCTCTCGTCGCCATACTGCACGCAAGAAAACAAGGTTATTAAAAACAGATTCTATACCATCTAACAATGAGCTCTCGAACATTTTGACTCAATAAACACGAGTGCTTTCTGGAAGTAAACAGCACAATGTGAAAGTAGAAAATTTATACTGTGCTAACCTCAGGGGGGTAGTCGCTGGGGAAGGGATGTGAAAGAGTGGGGGAGGCAGCAAATGGTGGAGGAGAGATCACCTTCCTTTCTGCCAGCTGAGATAACAGTTCCTGCCGTCGTCGGTGGAGATAGTCCAGGCTGGGCTGTGAACCGCTGTATTGTGACCCCTTATGAACCAACACATACAAAAATACCACTAGTCAACTCCAGACGGCCTAGACCACCTGCATTCAAAACAAGAAATATTCACAGCTGACATACCCTGACGTAGGTCCTCATAGGTGGAGGCTGGGAACCCGGAGGATAGTAGCCGTCTGGGGCGTATCTGTCCCGGGAACTCGCTTCTTGGTGGTAGAGAGAGTTGGCCTGCCCCGCTGAGGGGGGCGGGACATCGAGGGGATCCCTCTGAGACGGATAAGGCTGAGGGGGCGGGGGAGGGACGTTGTAGGTACTGTGGTGACCTCTGTCATAGTGAGATGGGTGGGAGTAGGGAAAAGGTGGGCCAGAGTGCTGGGAGGGGTAGGGGCGGTCCGGAGTGCTGTAGCCGCTGTAAGGGTCATGGTAAGGGGGTCCTGACTCACTCGGCGGAGGGGGGTTACGGATGTATTCCCGGACATACTGTGTTGGCTGTTGGTAGGGATAACCTGAGCAAACACACAAAAAAACGTCAAGAATTTATTTTAAGATCACAAAATATAGATTTTTATCATCCTGGTTTAGGTAAAACACCATCATGCTTTCCTGATAATTTCTTCTACAGTTTACAGAACGGTAGTTGTCAAGGAGCTATAAAGATAAAATTCATGTGATATTCTTGAATAAGTCAAATACTTCTACAATATTAGGTGAAATATACAAAGGAGCTAATTATATTGTTTTATTCCCATTTTAGTTTGTTTAAAATGTGGAATCAATTTATACTACTTTGTAGCTTTTCTGGCCCATGCAGCAAATGAGAACTTAACACTCAACAAAGACTCAGTTGTTTCTCTTTATTTTACTGTTGCTTTAAATTGACAGATTTTCTTGGGAAGTAAAACAAAAACCACACATTTGTCTTTGATAAGATTATTTGAACGCCTTTTTAAACCTACCTCCTGGGTACTGTGGCGGCTCATACTGAGAGGCAGGTGGGGGACGAATGTCATATACGTCACGGGGTTGTGGTTGGGGATAAACTGGAGAGCCCCTGGGGACCCCGGGGATATGCTTGACCCCTGTGAGGTGATCTGCTGGTATCCTGGGGTGAGCCATTGCATGAGGTGGCAGTGGTATACTGCTTTTGGGCATGGAGTCCAGGCTAAAGGAATGAAGCATTTCAGCTTTACACAGTGCACCCCATGTTCTTCTTTGGTTACAACATACCCAACGAATCTGTACATACACAGAAATCAGTGTAACTAAGTGGTGCCGGTCAGTTTTTAGGCACTTACACATCTGGTGGCGATCCAGGAACACTTGGACTTCCTCCGTCCTGCTTGGCAGTTTTAGACAGCAACTCATATGGGACTGTGTCGGTGCCGCGGGCGACTAATTGGGGCAAGTTCGGCGCGACGCTGCCATTGGTGACTGGTGAATGCTTTCGGGTCACCGTTACATCAGGAGTAAGGCCGTCGTCTGGAAACACCACTCCTGAGCGACCCGCCATGCGCTTATTCATCTTACGATACCTGGTGAACAATAAAAGGCTTTGCAAAAGACCAAACAAAATGCTGTAGAGATAGTGGACAAAGGTTTAACATATTTACACTTACTTCTCTAGTTCTTCCTGAGAGTGGGCAAAGGTACAGCTGGCACCGCGAGGACAGCCGCCTTTCTGCTTCATGTCACGACACATGTATGTTTTATATTTGCTGTGCTGAGGAGGCTGAAGAGAACAAGACAACATAACCTTTGTGTTGATGGAGCAACAAGTAAATACTTGTTGTCCGAAGACCTTTTGACATATTAAAAAGGCAAAACTTTCAATGTACAAGGAAACGCATTCGGTTTTTCGGTCAAGTCTATTTGAAGACTATTTGGAGAAAGGCTAAAATTAATCAATAAAATTAGGACAGACCAAAAGGATATCAAAATATTTACTGAACACCACAGATTTAATGCAGATCAGCATTTTTTTTTTTTTTAGGTTTACTTGAGTCTTTAAAATAATTATAAAACACTAACCTGTTGAGGATCAGCTCCTTTTTTGCTGTGGTTTTGAATGAAATCAACCAGGCCATGGACCACTGTTTTCACTGCTACCAACCCCTTCTCAAGCTGCTCCCATGTTGGCGGAGGAGCATCTGAAAAATTGGACATAGAAAGAAAAAAAAAAAAAGAGAGAGAAAGAAAATGAGAAAATTCATAAAGTCATTATTTAGATTTAGACAAAACTACACATTATTTGTACGGGTTCTTAAAGAACTTAGCTGACGACCACTTCATAATAACTTTCACACTAAAGTTAGTCAGTTTTTTTTTGTCTATGATGCGTTAAACATTTAAGTGCAAAGAGTTGCAAGAAGCCATTTAAAATGAAACTGAAAAAGCTGAAAAAAGCAAGACAAGTTTAGCAGGTAAGTTTTGCACAGATACTCTGTTTTACCCTTCTGTGATTTAAACTTACACTGGCTACGATACTTCTACAGTTTTAGTAATGCCCCCAATGCCAATGACAAGTACGGGATGCAAAATACAATAAAAAAATCCATAACCAACTTCTCTCCGTTTCATAATAAAAAGACTAAAACGTGGTCTTGCGTCACATCTCTTCCTAATTCAATTAACAGAAAAAAACACATTTTAAATGCTGTTTTTATATTTCATGTTACAGTCTTTGGAACAAAATCAGAGCGTTTGAAACACAAAAACAACCATGACAAAATTCTGATTGATGCGTCTTTATTCATCCACCTTGCAAGTTTCAACAAGCAAGACAGTTGATGTTCGCGTGCTTCTTACCGGGACTGGGATCGATGTTTGCCAGCAGCTCTAAGTGGGGTCGTAGTCTGTTGAGGTTGGCTGGGTCCCCAGTCCTTTGCAGTGCAATTGTCAGCTCCTGCACACTTTGAGCAAAAGATGCCGGGGTCTGCAGCTGCAACGGAAGAAAAGACACAGAAAATAATGGCTTGCAAAAATCTCTTAATAACTGGGCTACTGTGACTACTTGAGTCAAAACTATGAATGCAGAAAATAACTGCTTTGTCACATACCTTATCTATGATAGACTGCATATGTGACTTGTGTGACTGATCTCCATACAACAGAGAAGACCACTGGTCAGGCGCGATGCGCAACCCCCCTTCCATGGCGATCTGAACAATCTGAGAGTCATGCTCCCGCCGCAGAGCCTCGTACGTACGAAACTCCTCTTTCAGCTGCATGAGAGATGAATCTTCATCCCGTTTGGTAACCTTCAATCACAGAAGAGGGAGACTATTTTAACGTCCTACATTCAACACAGTATTTTCTAAATAAATCACAGATTGCTAAACTCTTATTTCTGCGTAGACCATGTTACAGATATGTTGAGTCAACCAATCTTATTAAGCAGCACTAGTGTAACTCTTGTTGACGTACCTTGAAGCAGGAAGCTCTGTAAAGCAGCTGTACCACATGGCCTATGCTGGTTTTCGAGGCCTGAGGAAAGCGTGGTTCAAGCCTTTGGACTACAAAAAGAACCAACACTTTTCTGGACAAAGCCGAACCATCTTCCAAAGCGAGGAGAACCAACTTCAGGGCTTCCTCCTGCATTGCTGGCGTCGGAAAAGAGACAACGGTGATCATTTTTGAGTAACAGTGGACTTTCAAAGGCTTCTGAAATTTTAATTAAACACAAGCAGAATAATTTACTGTCTGTGTGGCGGTGTCACTTGACATGTAACAGACACCTACCTGGGCCTAGGAACTGACAGCCCCGTGCACGAACAGCGGCCCACAGATTAGAGGACAGCTGCTGGGGATTCTGGTGCTGCAAGATGAGTTCGGTGACAGTTCGCTCGCCAAGAGAGCGCGCCGCTCTCATGGCTCTGACCCGTCCCTCCTCCTCCACCAGCTGGCAGTGGACTAGAGTTACCAATTTCCTTTGCATGGGTCGACTCAGCATGCTTTGGGCTGTGCTGCTCAGACCCACACCTGGAAAGATATTTAATCATACATTACTTACAAACCATTCGCCTCTACACAGCGATTTTCTCAGAACATGATATACCATATAGTACTCTTAATAGGCTAGATAAAAATACTTATCTGTCAAATGACATTAACCTCTAAACCTGTGATTCCCTCATTATGGCGTCTTTCACAATTTCTCCTCAGCAATAATCTCACTGGTTATTTCTGAGATTCATAACTGCTGTGTTTTACAAAATATTGATGAATAATTTTGTTTCATTCAGATACTTTATAATAATAAGTTATAATGCAAAAAGTTAATTTTACTTTTGTTACAGAGGTTTTTTTCTATTCCAAGTGTGTCCAATCGTTCAATGTGCAGTTATTTCTCAATCTCATGTTAAACATTAACTTGGCCGAGTTTCTAAATGTTTTTAAAGAAAAACATTACATCAAGGCTTGCATAAAAGCAGCCATTACATATTTTTTTTAACCTGTTTAAGACGTTATTTGTGTAAATTATCTGTACACGTTAAATAGAGGGATATGCCCATAAATCTGTAATTAGAAGGCAAATGAGGCAGAAAGTTTAAAATATTTTTACAGAAACACAAAACTTGACTTTTTTTTTTAGGTTCTTTGTATAATTCCCCATTAAACAGAAAAGCTAACATTTTGAACAAACTGTTATTTTCAGTATGAAACAGAAACATTTCAAAATGTAGATTTCTGTGTTTTACACCTGTGGGAACACAAAAGAGTTTACAATTTTGGCTGAAAAGTAGGTTATGCTGAATGAAGGCATCAAACAATAAGTTGGGTACCTCGGGTGTTGCTGAGGGGTTTGAGGTACAGGGCCAGCTCCTCCACACACTGTCTAGCCACCTCATAGTTCTGAGTGTCCTCTGGACTTGTAATCAAGGCAACCGGCTGAGCCTTGGGAACCTGGAGGGGAAAATAAAAGAGCAAAATTTGGTCACTATGTAGTGTGTTATATGTGTTTTGCACGGAAACTGTACTTACAGAGCACAAAACTATTATTTCTTGAAACATTTTAAAACAAAGAAAAAAAAGACCTAATTGTATGTCTGTACAAGCGAAGGTTTGCATCCTTATAGTAATAGTGGAATAAATATACACTGCTCAAAAAAATAAAGGGAACACTCAAATAACACATCCTAGATCTGAATGAATGAAATATTCTCATTGAATACTTTGTTCTGTACAAAGTTGAATGTGCTGACAACAAAATCACACAAAAATCATCAATGGAAATCAAATTTATTAACCAATGGAGGCCTGGATTTGGAGCCACACACAAAATTAAAGTGAAATGTTCCCTTTATTTTTTTGAGCAGTATACTTCAGAAGCATTTAACTTATTACACCAATCCTGATCGATCTTATAGTTTTGCTGTCCCGATAACTAAACTATGCTCTAACATCTATTTAGCTTAACATACAATTTTATTAATGCAAATGATATTAATGACGACCAACAAAATGGTTACCAAAATGATTCTGATCTATGACTGAGATCATGATGGTTTATTAAAATATTCATTTTTGCAAAAAAATAATGTGATAGTAAAATTTGTAAATCTCACGTTAATTGCATAAATCTGCTGAGTATAATCCTTTCTACTAAAGTAGTAAGGATTATAGTAGTACTAAAGTAGAACATGAAAGCTGCCTTTGTTTTCATCTGAAATTATGTTTCTGAAGTCAGGTGTCCATTAATTATATACATTTTATCCTCTATTATTTTAAAGACTAATGGTAAAATGTGCTTCTTTTACACACCACCTCTAATAAACCACTGTCGAGTTTGGGAAGAATGCAATTAATTAATAATATAATGCAATCCTCCATCCCTGGTACCTTAAACCCAGCAGGCTGAAGACCTACTTACTGAAGGTCATAACATTTGTCTGTTGCCACGGTCACAAAACACTTTTCGACCAAGCCTTGTTCCCACATCGGTGTGATATGTGACATGAACAAGGCAGCAAGGTGGTTAGAGATTGAACCACCACTGCTGTTCCTCTGTCCAACGGGTAGTGTCAGAGTTGAGTTGATGAGAAGATGTGAAGTGAGCAGAACCAGAAGTAGAGCTCCTCTCCAACTACACTGTTGTCACTCGTCTGATTCCACAATGCTGAGTTAACAACAGCCTGAGCAAACATCAACAAGGCACTAAACCAACTTTGTTTGCTGTGTTTGAACAAACAAAGAGGAAAATCGCGAGCTCCACAGAGACATGCGTTTTTCCTTGATAGATAACTATATGGAGCAAACTGTGGTATGTTTTTGTACATTTTGTAACATGTTTAAAGGTTGTTTTTTTTTTTTTTTTTTGTTTAGCTGGTACAGATCATATAATTTAAATAATTTAAAGATAAAAGACCAGAAGTTCATATACCATAATTATCATAACAGTAAGTTAAAGTGATGATAGAGCATAAGATTATAGTTTTGTGCAGATTGTAAGAAGAAAGCCTTTCAAAAAAAAAAAAACAACAAAAAAAAACCACCCGTTAGACGGAAGAGTCAAACTGAAACAACAATCATCAGTCATCAGACAGACAGATCTTCAATGTTGAGTCATATGAACTGAAATAACAGACTGTGTACTACAATTACATTCATCTAAATTCTAAAATAAATAACCCAATTTATCCGCTAAATATTTTCATTGACATTCGTTTTTCACAAAGCGGGTCACAGCTCACCACTCAGAATAATACATTTAAACAACACTCATTTGAGAAAACATTGCTTTGTCTGCCAGTGCATCTGTTGATATTTGTCAAGATGGTTGTTTTTAAGTGAAAGAAGAAGAAAATAATAAAAGCTTTAGCTATCTTGTTAAAACATTCCTTTTACATTGCAACACAACATCAAAAGACCACAAGGAACCAGAGAGCTAGAGTAACATCCTAACTATTACAAAGTCCAGTTCAAGGTTTTCTCAAGTCATGCAACACAAAAACTCAGGTTTGTTGAACTTGCTTCACAGAATACATTTCAGGAAGATGTTTTAGCTTTACCTTAAGCAACTGCAGCTCAACTGTGAATCCCAGCTTGAATTAATCCATGTAATAATTGCTCATACTTGGATAAATACTATTGTGTTTTTATGCCCAGTACTGTTACTGCGGGGGAGGAGGTAGGTTTAATCCATCTGTTTTGTGTGATAATTGCTTAAACATGAGAGAACTGTTTCGGTTTCTATTTTCTTACAGTTTTAACAACTAATTTAACACAGACAGTTAAAATGTATATGTTTTTTTTTTGTTTTTTTTAAATGAGTAGCTGTGATGTCTAATTAAAATGAAAGCAAGCCAAAAATGAGAAACAAAGATTAAAACGCGAGACAGTCTTGTATAATTTCTGGCACTAAAGTTTAATTACAGAAACTGTAATTTGTTTTTGCTCTGTGTTCTGGTGGGAGGGAACAGATTGTTTTAATCAGTCCATTGTATGAATATTATTTAAAAAGACAAAACGGTGACTCTACTGAGGTTAGCATTTTATTATCTCTTCAGTCCCAATCATGAAAACCATATAAGACAAGAAACGTGTCTTAATAGCTCAATAGGTGACCAAATTCACTATGTGAAATTTGCCCATTATATTTTTAAACAATATGTTGAACAAAAATGTTGCATTTTATGTAGCCCTGACACGTTATAGAAAGGGAAGCCAATCATCTATTTTGCTGATTATACATGAACTAAGCAAATTTCAACAAAATTGGTTTACTGACGTGATAATCACACCAACTTATGGCTATAATGTCCTAACATGTTACCATCATTCATTCGGAATCTATTTTGCAACATTTAAAACATGACTATAGATTGCTTCAGCTTTGGAAAGTACACACACTGGATCCTATTACTAAAATGTAATTTATACAAGTTTTACATGGACTTATGTCAAAGCATATTTATTAACTGAGAAGGAGAAGAAAATGTACAAGGAACTTCTCTGTACATATGTAACATTATTTAGTCAGTCTGGTGTCATATGGCGTAGCATCAGCACACACCATCACCTAGACTGCATCTGACAAAACATTCGTTTTATGATTGATGCACTGAGAGTTTCCATTACGGCACTACCGACGCCATCAGCTGTGCCTCAAGGAAGAAAAAAAAAAAAACAAAAAAAAACGCTGTGCCTCACCCTGCTGATTAAACATTGCCTCACAGAAATACAGCTCTACACATTGTTCCAGCACTCAGTAAACCAATAAAATACAGTTCATTGCTTAATGAGGTTGTTGGTGTTGTGTAACAGAGTGTCTTAAGCTGTTCTGCAACCCCAATATTACCTTAGGTCCATGCATTGAGAGGATCTTTGCACAGACAATGTGAACTGCTGATGGTAATGAATGACAAATCCAACACAGGCTCATGTCTTACCTGGCCTCCCACCAGCTGCAACAGGGCTGTGTTCACAGGTAACTGTTCGATGTCTGTGCTGATGGCCGTCTGGTCAAAGGGACAGGCCTTGCGGTGCAACTTGTTCAGGCACATCTTGCACACAGTATGTCCACAGCCCAAGCTGATGGGCCGGCGAACAGTCTCTTCAAAGGTCTGTGTGCAGATTGGGCACAGCAGAAACTCTGTCCATTGTGGCGCTTGCACAGGCATGGTTATATGTTGGTGGGATGGGTGTGTATATATAAATGTAAGTAAGAATTAACACAAAGGAAAAAAAAAATATAATAATTATATATATATAGATATATGGAAGATTCCACTGGAATCAAGATTTGTTTTTTTTTCCGAACTAAATCGTTCTTAAATGTCCTCACACATTGTGGATGGTGGATCACATCTCGTGATGAATACTGCAGGAGAGAAAAAAAAGAAAAGAGGAAATTGTTAAGATCTTCGGTAAATTAAACGATTTAGCAAACATGTCAAAATGTTGTGACAACTCAATCAACTCAACTCTTTCCAAGCCTACAAAAAAAAAGACATGTTATGCATTTCACTGCAGGCTACTGTGTTTTTAATTCCTATTCATCACATAACCAAGGCTTATTGCTGCAGTTTTAGTTTAACAAAACTAAATAGCCTAAAAGCTAACGTTTTCAAGTACCTTTATTCCAAAAAGAAACTGATGTATAATGAGCACACAATATGCAGTTTGTATTAAAAGTTGTACACATAAATAAACTTCAGAATGTATTTGTTTTTACACTGGAAAAAATATGGAAGCTGAATGCCTTTATTCCATGGCAGAATATCCTTTGTTGCTGTTTATAATGGTGAAAATGTCATTGCATATCAGTTATCACTAGCCTTTGGTGAAATAAGAATTCTATTACTAATCAAATTTACAGATGTTTATTCTAGCCACTAAACTGGTAAAACATCCAGTGGCTAAACAAAGTATTCAATTTTTTTTAGATTCTGGGTCACAATCTCCATTTTACATTTAAATTAAAGGCCATAAATTATTCTTGAAATTAAGCTTTTAGTTTGTTTTAAATCAGCAGATTATGCTGGTATATTCTTCAAATCTTCTTTTTTTGTTCGTGCAGATGAAATCGTTTGTCTTCACAGACAACACTTTTGAGCAATTTGCTAACATCTCTGATCATATGTATCTGAAAACAACAATCTAAACAAGTAGGTTTACGATTTTACCGTCGTATAATATAGTAAAATTACATTTTCTCTGGCGTACACAGCTCACCCATTACAAACCAAATATTAAATATAAGAAGACATGCTTAAAATCCACAACCGAAGTGAACGAGAAAAACAACAGCTGTGGGGCCTGCAAACAGGAGCCTGTAACTACTATGACTATGGACAAAGGATGCCGAGCTAGCCGTCACCGAAGTCCCTACAGCAAGATGCCAAATCTCGCCTTTAGGAAGTCGTAACACTACGACTTCAATGTTGAGAGTTTGTGTAATTTATTCGATGAGCATGACACATAAGGTTTTTGTGTTTTGTTGTAAATTATTCTGTGTATGTGACAAACTAAGCGATTCGCTGGCTAACTACTAGCGAAGTAGGCTATGGGAGGCTAGTTGGCTAGCTTAGCTAAAAAGTAAACGGCGTTAGTTCAAAGCAATCGATTTAACTGTTTTAGGCATGGGTTTATTTGGCTATAACGTAGTTATTATCCTCAGTGTCACTGTAGATTTCAAATTCATATTCTGTCGAGAACTCTAGTTGCTATATATATCTTTGGTCAAGAAAACGATAGGTAGCAGACTATCGCTTGACTTGCTGTGATATTATGTAACGCTAGCATCTGGCACTAGCAAACAAACATTTAATGTAAATGTATTTGTGTACATAATGGGCACCCATTTCAATACAATATGAAATAATATTTGAAGTTCTCGTTATTGACATGCGTTAATCCAGTCTTAGAGATGGGTTAAGGAACGCTTCTTGTAAAAAGAAACACCAAGGGCTAACAGGCTAACGAACAAATGTTAGCAACTCCTCCCTTTAGCTAAATCTTTATATCTGCTACTAACCATCGCTATGCGTCATTAACTTGACTAAACTAACACTATGGCCACTAATGTTACTTTCACGTGATAATAAAATGATAATTATCGTTACTACTCACTTATTCCAAATGACTTGGAAGTATTTCATCTTTCTTTACAAAACTGTTGCGATATTTTCCTGCCATGTCGACTCTGCAGCTTCGCTGCTGCCGATGTTTCGGGGAGGTGCACTGTCAACAGTCCTGCTAGCCGGTTAGAGCTAGCTGGGCCCGGACGTGTTTACGTGCGTGTGCTTGTGCGCGCGCAACCATGTCTAAATAGCGCCCTCTGTTGACATTGGACGACATGCACAACAAAAAACTGAGACATGGCGGTTCGTTTTAAATTGTCTTTGTGGCATTCGACAATTATTTTTTATTTTATTTTTTTTTTTGTAATTTTCAAGGAACTTCAGAAAATTAAACTTTGTGAGTCACATTTTACAATAGTGAAATCCAAAGATCTGGTCATATTTTCAGGTGGGCTGCATGTTGCACAGTTACTGTTGCTTTGCAACAAGAAGGTCAAAGTTTCAAATCTCAGCCTTAAGGTCTGTTTATATGGAATATGTGTATCGTGTGTGGGGTCTCTCTGGGTACTCTGGATTCCTCCCACTGTTAAGGTAATTCGTGTCTCTAAACTGCCCTTAGATATGATTGTGAGAATGCATGGTTGTCTGTGCACTATTGCCCTCTGTCAATCTGCTCAGGGTGTATCCCATCCGTCGCCCAGTGACAGCTGAAGACAGGCACCAGCAACAATTATTGTTAATGACAAAAGATCTGAGAAAATAAGATCAATTGCACAAGAACAACAAAGATGTGTGGATCTGTAAAGGAATAAAGTTGTTTTGCAGTGCCATATTGAATAGAGTTGTTAAGGTGACACTCAGGTAGCACTAATATGGTTTTATATTGAAAAGGAATGCTACAAGTGGGATGTTTTCTTTGAGAGTTTTGTTTCTTTGAGGAAGTCAAAATGATTTGCAGTATATGCCCTGACAATGTTCGAGAAATGTTGGTGTGGTGCAGGAGATATGCCTTTCTTGTGTGCTTGTGTGACGAGTTTAATGTGTTAATTTAATGTTTTTCATCTTATAAATAAAAAGCTTTCTAGTTAATGTAACCAATACAATGTAGTTCATAATTGATAGAAGAAAGCTACTTTCCAACATTCAGCATTTTTCAACATTCCCTCATAGTTTTCTGAAGCATTGCATTTTGTGTGAAAGTCAAGAAATGAAATTTGGATCTTATCTGCAGACCAACATCTTCCACATGACTGTTGTGTCCAATACATAGATTTTGGCAAACCGTAAACATGGGATCTAATAACTTTTTTCAGTAAAGTTTTCTTTTTGCACTCTTCAATAAAGGCCATCTCTGTAGAGTGCATGGCTATAAGCTGGCCTGTCAACAAGTTCTCCTACCTGAGCTGTAGATCTCTGCTGCTCCTCCAGAGGTGCTATAGACCTTTTATCTACACAATGTGTTTTGTCTGCTTCTGCAGATGATGCAATCCTTTAAATAGACAACCATTTCTTGGTGGTTGGCAATTACTACACAATCTTTCCATTTTCTGATGATGCATTAAACAGTGTGAGATTGCATAACCTAATCAAGGGTTTCAACTTGTTTACAACTTTATATCTGACCTGTGTTTGCTGTTGACCGCAGTCTTCTTTGTTCACTGTTCACAAACAAACCTCTGAGGTCTTCACATGTTTATTTCTACTTATATTAAATTAGACGCACAGACCTCGCTTAAAAGGTATGTGACTTCTGAAGGCAAGAAAGTGTTGAGGAGTGAGGTAACATTACAGATGGGCTCTATAGAGACGGGATCACATCAGGGATCCTCTCTGGAACCTTTTCCAGTTTGCATTGGTGATGGACATGTTGACAGATGGGGTCAGGCAGGAGGCCCCATGGAGTTTGATGTTTTCAGAGTACACTGTCATCTGTAGTTAGAGTCGGGAACAGGTGGAAGAGAGTCCGAAGAGGTGGATGTATACTCTGGAGAGAGGAGGAATTAAAGTGGGTAGAAGCAAGACAGAATGCATGTGGACGAGCAAGAAAGAGACATGTGAAGAACAGTGACGCTCCAAGAGAACTTCGATAAAAAATGGATGAGTTGAAGTTGCCATGAGCAACTGTTCAAAGCAATGGTCATGGGTGAAGAAGATCGTACAGGTATGGAGGAGTGGATATACACAGGTGCCAGGAATGATTTGTGACAGAAGGATAGCTGCAAGAGTTAAAGGTTTGATTGACAAGATCGCAGTGAGATGTGCCAGGATGTGTAATTTGAAGGAGATAGCACAAACAAAAACACACAGCGTAGGAAGTGACAGAAGCCAGAGATGTTACATTTTTTATTAGGAGTGATCCAAAATAGACAGGACTAGACATAAGCACATCGGAGGGACAGCTTAAGTTGAAAGATTTGGAGACCAAGTTGGAGAGGCGGGGAGATGGCTTAGACACGTGCAGTGGAGGGATAGTGAGCATATCAAACAAAGAGAGTTGCATTCAGAACTGCAAGTGAGGAAGAATGGAGGAAGAACGCAGGCTTATAGATTTAGCAAAGACGTATATGCAGAGGAACGACATGGCAGAAGGGGTTGAGTGAGATGGAGACAAAGACAAAGTTTGTCCTCAGCCATACAGCCTTACATGCAGAATATCTTTCTTGATTTTTGTATGATTTTAATGCAAAGAGTGAAGGAGACAAGTTTGACTCTATTATAATACTGTAGAGCCTTGTTGCGCAATTTTTTAATGCCTTCATATGTGCTGACAGCATAATAAAACTCCACACACTATACATGTGCCTTTGATTTTAATGTGACAGCCCAGGACGATCAGTGCCCCCTTCTGGCCAGCTTTCTCCAAAACATTCTGGATGCGCCCCTGCCTGAAACTCCAAATACCTCAATTTCAGAAGAAAATATTGAAGATGTTGGGTGTGAAAATCCGTTTCAACTCTGTTTTCTGCAGCAAAAAAATTTTGCTTGGAAGAGAATAATAGACTGGAATCCGTGGTGGTACAACAAAAAGGAAATTATGCAGACGCAAAAATAAACAAATACAAAAACTAACAAAAAAAAAATCACGTAGAACAAAGGTGTTACAAGATTATCATAAATACAAAGGAAACAATGAATTGTTCCTTATAGTTTCTTTTGTTGTTTTCCATATTTGAGCTCAGATCTAGTGTTGTATTGTCCAGCATGATTCAGGTTGACATACTCCCCAGGCAGAGCGGAAGGATAAAATTAGACGGAGGGATGGATCAGCTGTATATAATATCCAGTAAGAATCAGCTGACACTTGTTTACACAAAACAAACTGTGACTTGCATTCTGTCTCAGTCGCAGATTCAATCTGGAAACGGGAAAGCTGGCAGTATAAGGATTTTTTATTTTTTTTAATTTTTTTTAATTTCCCCTTTACTTTTCTCCCTCCTTTTCATTGGGGGCATTATTGCATCGTGGGAATAACACAATGTGCACCGCGCTTACGCAACAGAGATCGTCACTCGGCAGAGGGTTTGCGGGGCAAGGACGAAATTAAAGCGAGCATTTTTGAATTCCATTTTTGTTAATCCCACTGATTTTCTGAAGGGATTAGCGGACCGAGCATGATAGAGGCACCGCTGGTTCGCCTGGCACCGCTCGGATCGGGAGCTGCAGACAGTAAGTGCAACACAACCTATAGGATCCAGAATGCACTGAGAAATCTTATTTCTTAGTACTTAGTCCTTTTCCATTTTCTCTCTTTCTGTCTTTCTTTTCTTCTTCTTTTTCCATCTTGATCTGCTGGGGATATATTGCTGTTACTTATGCCTTTATTTTCTTACTCTTGTTAGTGCCTAAGAATGAGAAGGCGCGCTGAAATTCCCACCAGATTGTTTTGGCGCACGTTTTGTTGAGATGTACTTTAATTTTTTGATATTGCGCAAGAATTTATCTCAACTTCAGCGTGATTTTAGATGAGTGGACTGAAAAAAAAAACACTTTTACATATTTATCCAGGTACGCTTTTCATTTTTGTTAATGCTTTACATCCTGGTTTAGTTATGAAGGACCCATTTTACTGATAATATTTAGCAATATACAAGAAGGGACGTAACAATAAGTCATAGTTCTAAAATACTTAACTAAAGCATTTTTTTTAAATTGAGCAACTCTTTCCTTTTCCTTGTTTTGAATGAATGGCACAAACAGAGAACTTATTTGGTGTTTAACATCCCCCCCTATTCAACAAAAGAAAATAAAACATCTTATACTGCTTAGGATTGTAAGGTCTCAGTAGCAGACAGCAGTTGCTTATTCTCATTCTAAAGGATTATCCTGTGCCCTGCAAAGTAATCACTGGATAATGCAACGTGACTGAATCCACAATAAAGATCTCCTCTCAGGAGAGAAAGAGCAACCAGCGATGAATATAACGGAAATGTCTCAATCATTCTTGTGAGTAACAGTTTCTAATTCTCTGCTTTATTATTTTTTTTCCCTTCAGAATATTTCAGAGCCTAACCCCTTTTTCGTATCGCCCGACCAATGGATGAGGAGAGATCTGCAGGTAATGTTCTTTCTAAGTCCACTTGCCCTGTACCGACTGGCCTTCCCATCAACTGGGGACTCATCACTGGCCCTGTACCAGAGCCTGTTTTCGGAGCATCTTCTTTAAAGACCTCGCTGCCTCCTCACCAGAGTTCAGCCTCGCATGCACTACAGACAAAAGTGAAGTCGTTGACTCAGAGAAGAACAAGAGGCAGGGAGCGGGAGAAGGACAGAGAGAAGTTGGACGCAGGCGAGATGCGCACAAGTGGCTCCCCTGGGCAAAATTCACCTGAAGTGCTCCTGAGGCAGAGGCAGAGAGCCAAAGGGCAGCTGTTTGTGCCGTCAACCTCCTGGCGATCAGGTGCTGCAAAGGACTTGAGCAGCAGCGATGAGGATGAGGAGGTAGAGGTTCAGGTTCGACTGGAGATCCACAGTCCTCCTGTGGACCTACAAACGGAGCAGGGGACAGAGGAAAGCGACGAGAAGTCAGAACAAAATGAGGGCCAGGTCAGCTCTTGTGGGCTCGAGGAGGGCACCAGTCTGGAAAGTCTCCTCTCAGATAACTCAAGTAGCAGCAAGGATGACCCGTCGCCTCCTCCTCCTCTGCCTGCCGTCTCCTCCTCCGCTTCAACTACGTCTGCTTCCACCTCGTCCTCTTCTTCAGCGA